TTGTCATCTGTATGAAACTGAAGTAACGAATCAATGCTCATGGCTGTTTCAAGAGCCTGAAAAAGTTAGCAGTGCGGAAAGAAATCCAAGCTCATCTCTTAAAGGGCTCAAAAAACGACTGCCTAATCCCGCTTTTTCTTCCCCAAACAGTGCTGCTAACCGAAAAAAAAATGACCACAAACCCCATTCCATCTATCACCACCGTTCCTTATAGTTCATCCCAAGCACAGACACGCTGTCACCAACAACGTGCTAATGGAATAGCTAGCTATCGATGGCTATTAGACAATGTATCTGTGCTTAAAGCAACTGTAAAAACGGAGCCAATCCTCTATGGAGAGTTCTTAAGAAGTACGACAGATAAGTGAAGTAACAGAAGTATTAATTTAGGCAAGAAATTTTGAAATTGCGTCACCTGATCGAGATAGCCCGGCGGATATCCCTCAACGAAACCCTTTTGACGCATACGATAAATCCATTCTGGGATATCGTGCTTTCCAATACCAAGAGCATCACGCAACGAATCGCTTACATAACCTGGTCTAAAAAAAATAAATGGCCAACGCACGGGCTGCCCGTGCAAAGATGCGTTTTTTGCATAGTTCCCCACAGCTTTTTTGCAAGCGGAACAGGTTTTTTCGGCAAATGCTTCTATTAAGACTGGCTGCCAGAACTGTCAGAAAACACCCCTTTAAAATTTCAGCTTTCTAGCTTCCCTGACTCCTGAGTTAGCAACTTACTGGAAAAAAATTTTAACGGGTATGTGCGTGTTTACCACACAGTGGATGGGATATATCTTCTTAAAATTACAGTCCTTTAGCTTCTGAGGTACTCGAGTTATCAACTTGCCCGAAAAAAATTTCGGCGAGCCCGTACGCAGGTACCACGCCTACTCGGGAGCTGGGTTTGAGCTCACTAATACCCACTTGGACGGGGAACATCACACTAAGATTTCAGCTTTCTAGCTTCTCAGATCCCCGAGTTATGAACTTATCCGAAAAAAATTTCGGCGGGCTCAAACGCGGGCATCACGCTTATCCGGGGGCTGGATATGAGCTCATTAGTACCTGCTTGGACGGGGAACATCACACCAAGATTTCAGCTTTCTAGCTCTTTAGATCCCCGAGTTATGAAATCACTCGGAAAAAATTTTGGCGGGTCCGTACGCGAGTACCACGCTTGCCCGGGGACTGGGTTCGAGCTCACTAATACCCACTTGAATGGGGAACATCCTCCTAAGATTTCAGCTTTCTAGCTTCTCAGATCCCCGAGTTATGAACTTACCCGATAAAAACTTTGGCGGGCCAATACGTGGGTACCACAAGGGCAATGGTGCCAATTTTGGGGATTGAGGCTCGCACGTGCATGTAGATTAAGAAAAACCGTGACAGGCGCACACACGGACACACAGACAACCCCTCGTCAATATGCGTTTTCTGCATTGCTTAGCTGCAAAAAACGCATAAAAACGATTAGACCCAATAAACCTTGACACTCAGTCGCTGAGATCGGCCAAACATCTCGGCAAAATTACCAGCGCTGAACGCCCACACCGGTTTTGCAGGAAAAACTATTAATAAATAGCTGCATGCTGACAGCAGGTAAGCTAGTACACCATTCCTGGGTTACACCTGACTTTGGCTACATATTATCAAAATTTCCTGGAAAACCGGTGTGTGGATTCAACGCTGGTAATTTTACCCAGATGTATTAGCTCGCCGAACGCAGCTGTACTTGCACCTCTAATCCTGGGTAACAATCATTTTATTTCAATATATGTCTGTAATTTCTCCTGTAAATTTCGCAAAAACTTTCAGCGCTCTACTTTCATTATAACCGGGGACATTCATTGTTTGTATCTTTAAAATTTCTGAAACATTTCCATTATACTTAGATCGCCAAGAGGAAACCCAGAAGACTTAGAAAATTTAGGACGGTACTGGTAGTTAATAAATATGACGTATATCAGGCTAACCAATGCGATCATGCGTTTTACATAATTTCTCATAGGAAATTCGTGAAGAAGTAAAATCTGATGAGCAGGTTATACTGCACTCCTTGCTAACGGTGTGTAAGCCGATTGTAGCATCCAGGTTGCCTTTGGATGTCGAAGTATCGAAGGCTATTGAATATCGAAGAGCCTGGCAAAGTTATGGAAGAACATTCCAGTGATAACACTAGCACTGGACCTTTATACCAACTGTTCGGGCGCTCTTAAGTAACCATGGTCACGATTGAAATACAAAAAGAACAATGTGAAAATACGTGACGTACGACCTTGGC